CCCACTCTTGAATTTATTTGTGATGATTTAGAAACTTTTTTTTTTAAGAAAATCCGCCCTTCTTGATAAATTGTAGTGTATCAGTAGTGAAAACTGGTTTGCTACGTTTCACCTGTGTTCTTCAGCCATTCCCACTTTCTCCTTAACCATTTCCTCTTAAATGAGTAACCTATTTGCAGATCTCCATTCCTTGGCAGTTTGGTCCTAATCTGGACTCTGTCTTGCTTGCTTCATCTTCCTCAACTCTTCCGCATTTGCTCTACACTTTAGTTACATCAAACTGCTTGCTATGTTTAGTACCATGTATGTTTTCACATCTCTGCTTTTGACTTCCTTGTCTGGTAAACTCAGCATATCTGTCATTCATTTTCTCCAGACAGCCTTCCTTTGAACCTTCCTCATTCTCCTGCCAGGATCAGAAGACTCTTTTCTGTATTCCCACTACATACAGTGCTTTTCTTTTCAGTGCATTTAATACACCACACTGCATTTGTGTAACTTCTGAATTTCCCCTACTAGATCTTAGGAGTAAAGGAGGAAGTGGTAGAATATAAGGTTGGAGAGATTTAGTCAGGGGCAAAATCATGCAGGGCTTTCCCTAAGCTACGGCAAAGAGCCACAGTTTTATCCTATGAACAGTGGTGAGACAAAGGAGTCTTTTAAATAGGAAAATGTCAGGCTCGTGTGTTTGTGTGTGTGTGCGCGTGCGCGTGCACTTTATTATTTTTTTAAAGAAACCTGTTCTTGCTATTTTGCGCAGGCTGGCCTGAAACTCCTAAGCTCCTATAGCTTAACTATAGGAGTGTATCATTGCACCTGGTTTTGCTTATATTTTTAAAAGGTAACCTAGCTGCTATATGGAAAATGGATTGATGGACAGGAAGAGTAAAAGTGGGAGGGCTGGTGGCATAGCTCAAGTGGTAGTGCACCTGCCTAGCAAGCTCAGGGGCTTGAGTTTAAGCCCCATATGGCCTCCCTTCCCAAAATAAAGAGTACAAGTGGGAAAGCCATTGAATAGAAGCTATTGCAATGGTCCAAATGAGAGGTGATAGTGGCTTAACTCTAGCACTTGTGGAGCTTGTGTGAAGTGTATGGCTTAGGATTTATTTTTGAGGTGGTGCTTATAGGACTCATTCATTCATTGTGTGGGTGCCAAAAGAAAGATTTTCAAAGGTGACTTTCCAGTTTCTTATTTGAACATCTGTGTAGATAGTACTTCTATTAATGAAATGAAGAAGACTTAAGACTCTAGTATAGTATGGTCTGCCCAGTCGAACACAGTCTCTACATTTCTTTTTTTTTTTTTTCCTTAATTTGTTGCATCTTAGTCAAGTGCATCTCTGGATGTTTGAATTTACAGCCCTGACTTGAACATTAAGAATAGAAGGAGTGAACTAAGGAACCTATGAAGTAACTAATGAAATAAGAAAATCAGGATAGAGTATTACAGAAAACTAGAGAGGAAAGTGTTTCAATATTAAATGCTACTAAGAACTTGAGTAAGATGAAGACAGAAAATGACTACTTTAGGATGCTGAGTAGGTTTGAGGAATAGATAAAGGAGTTGAGGTAACAAAGTCGAGTTCTTTGAGAACGAAGGAAAGGGAAGAGACAAAGGTAAATGGGGCAGGAGGCTAAGTTTTGGAGCTATAGAGAATATGTGAAGAATCCATTAGAAATTGATGATACAGGAGAAAAAAGGTAAGAGGTGAAGATCCAAGAAAGGAGGTGAGAGCTGGTGAAGTGGCTCAATGGTAGAGCACCTGACTAACAAGCATGAGGCCCTAAGTTCAAACCCAGTACTGCCAGAGAGAGAGAAAGGAGGTGGTGTTCTGGAGCACAGGCTTGACTGGCAGTTGCTAGGAGGCATGTTGCCTCAGGGAAGGAAGGAGAGAAAACATTGGTCCTGATGTGGCAGCAATGCAGATTTCTGCCAGTGTTCTCACACAACCAGACAATTATAGACTAAATATTTGGACTAAAATATAGAATAAATGTAAACTGTTTGGAATTCAGTCTATAAAAATTTGTTGGCAATTTTCATAAATAGCACATAAGAGTCATAATTATAGTCTCACAGTATTGAAACAGATTTAGGAAGTATTATTTTACATATTGCAGGTGAGAAGTTAAGGCTTAGACATGTAAAACAGATTGATCAGAACTATGACTCAAACTCAAGCCATCTTGAATGCCAGGCTTATACGCCTCCTGACACCTGTAGTGCTAACTAGGTTATCTGAAGTCTAAGGCACTTTAATCTTAAGGGAGAATCAGTTGATATTTTTGGTCAGGTTTTAAAAAGCATTGTGATTGGAAGAATCTGCTGAAACCAATTTTCTTATACTACCATTGTGGTTCAGAAATTAAACAAGAAAAAACCAAGTTCTAGAGCTGGTTTGGAGGGTTTTTTAAATCTCTTGATTTTCTTTCTATAATCACAGAAAATATGTTTTGTTGAAAGAATTCTTGAATGTTTTTCCTATCTTTCTGAATTTAATAAATAATAAAAATCATACCTTGGGCCAGGCATTCCAACCTCCCTGCTAGAGTGATAGACCCATCACTTCTGTTTTTGTTTTGTTTTGTTTTGATGATGGAGTCCTGGGGTTAAACTCAGGGCCTCACACTTGCTAGGCATGTGTTCTACCACTTGAACCACTCTACCAGCCCACTTACTTCTGGTTTTTGAGTTATTTTGTTTGGTGCCTCTAATTTTGTCTTGATTCATATTCTTACACAAAACAGTCCTTTCTAAGTTTTGGATCAGCTCCAACTTGTTTAAGTTTATACACTGAGGGAATAGTTTTTAAAGTACCTGATTCATGTCAAGACAATTTTATGTGCAGCTTTAAATTAAAACTTATTTTTTAAAAAATAACTAAGTTTAGTTTTTGAGGTAGAGTCTTGCTATGTTGCTGAGTTTGAACTTAGACTGGCCTCCACCTCTTGGATTTCAAGTGATCTTCCTGCCTCAGCCTCTCAAGTAGTTGGAACTATAGGCAAGAGCCGTTACACCCAGCTAGTTAAGTTTATTTGTTTATTTTAAATTTATTTTTAACTGATACATAAGAACATAAAAATTGTGCAAATTAATGGAGGTAATATGATATCTTGATACGTGTGTCCATTGCATACCATTTAATTCTTGTTAAACAGACCTGTCTCCTCAGTTTATCATTTTTTAAATTAGAACCGTCCAAAATCCCTTTGAAGTTTGTAACACATTATTGCAACTTATTTTTTGTCACAAGATCCATGAAAGTCTTTACTGAAATAAATTGTGCAGGTATTGCTAACTTCAGTGGAATTTTTTATTGCTCTTTTGCAACTTGATTTTTATAGCTAGAAAAGTTTTCATTCTCACCTCCTCCATTAAGACTCTTCTTAGTTTTCCCTTGAGTCTGGGTAATCAGCATGATAAAACATTTTAAGAGGCTCACAATATATCCTCTTTGTCTCATTTTCTTTCCAGTATTTTAGTCAATCATTAATATAGAGGATGGGACCAAAATGCTTCCTGAGCTCTCCTTTGATTATTTGTGAAATGTGGAGATGTGGTAGTTTGTTCCATCTGGTTCACGTTAGGTATCCTGGTTTATTCCTCCCGTTTCCTTTTCAAACCACCTCCTGCCTTGTTTCTTTTGCTACTGGTTTCCTATTTTAGGCACAAAACCAGTTTCATGCCTGACTAGTCCTCTTCCTCCTCCTCTTTGGATTTCATATTCATTCATTTGCCACCCTTAGGTTCTGTCTTTCTAATCTCTAAAATCTGCCTCTTTCTATTTTTTTTTTGTCTTCACTAATTGACATCTTGTTTGTTTTCTCACCTGGACTTCTTTACTACCCTCACCATGGCATAGAACACCACTTTTCCTAAGTAAAAGTTCTGTTCTTTTACAACACACACACACATATACAATATTATCAGAATTCTAAAACTTATCTTCCTTGTTGCTAAGGACAGGTATAACAGAGAGAAAATCATTAGGGCTAGACAGACTTTCTTTCTAATCTTAGTTCTGCCACTTACTAGCTATGTGACCTTGATTATTTTCTTAACCTTTCCAAACACTGCTTTCTTCCTATGAAAAATGACTTAAGGGATTATAAGAATTTTGACCAGTAGGCGGAAGGCCCAGAGTTCAAACTCCATTTCCACCAAAAAGAAGGGAATTTTGAAAGGTTTGGAGATGTAAAGTACCATTTTGTTAAAACATATAGTTGTATAGGCTTTGATAATTATTTGATATAGGGCATGGCCTTTGAATATCAAACTGTAATTTTAGTTCTACTTAGTCTTGTTAAAAATTAAACAGTTTTTAAAATCCTAAACTAAAAACAGTTGATTTAAAATGGAGACACTTGGGAAGAATTTGAGACATGCATATAGACTCATTTTAGATTTTTACATGTTTTGTAGTCTTTGACAAATAACGTCATTGACACCTAATTCAAAAGCAATTTTTATCAGTTACTCTCTTTTATAGTCTATTCTAAGCACTGAAGATGGTTCCTGAGGAAGCAATAGTTCTCCTTTCTGCAGTCATATTTCTGATCACTAAATGCAGTGGCATTAACAGGTTTGGGAGCAAACATATCTGACTGGCTGATAGTAAGCAGACTGCTCAGCTATTTGAGTTAGAGCTTCAAGGATGTTCTAAAGAGTAGCTGACCAGCTATGTGCATTAAAGCTTATTGTGAGCATCCAGTAATCCATTGTATAGAAATATACAACAAAGTATGTTGTCAGTCTTATAAATCACCTGGTAGAGGGAATTTTAGAAAACTTGCACTGAGCTTGTTTTCTTCTGTACCAAAATTTCAATTATTGAGCTTACTTAACATCAGTTATATATTTTGCCACAAAGTTTTATAATCTTTGTTTTCCTTAAAATTCAGTGCTTTGAAATGTCTTATTACCTTCTCAAGTCACTTTGGTCACCCCCAAAAGAATTTCATGCTAATTGTTTTTTTTTATTTTGTTTTAATTTCAGTGGTAGGAATGGGATCCTGGTGCTTCCACATGACTCTGAAATATGAAATGCAGGTTAGTAATGACAAAATTGATTACTTATTTTTCTAAATCTAGAGACACTTCAGATTTGAGAAAAGAACAAATAATTAAAGGGCAGTTAAAGGGAGGAAGATTAATGATCTCTATAGTTTACTTCATATCAAAGGATCCAGACTGCCTAAGTAAAGAATTAAGCAGATGAATTGTCCATAGAGAACACAAGTGAAAACAGTATAGCTGTTTTAACAACTCTGTACAGGCATACACAATTTTAGAACAGCATTAAAGAGTAGAGTCACATGGAGACATCTTAAAAAGATATAAACAGTTCACCAAAACAATGTATTTTTAGATGCCTTCATTCTTTTATGTCTCTCTGGCATCCATTTGAGTGGTTTGGTCACTCCAACTGGTAAGATTTTAGAGCTATACAAATGTTTAGATCCTATTTTTGCTGTCCATGTCTGGTCCTCAATCTTTGAACATCTTGGTTTACCTTCACTAACCCAGGAACATCTAGAACATCATTTTACAGTAGGAATAAAATCTGAACTACATATATAATTTAAGATTTTCTAGCATCCACATTGAAAAATGTAAAAAGAAATGGATGAAATTAATATAATAATACATTTTATTTATTCCAGTATATCTTGAAATATTACTTCAACATACAATCAGCATAAAAACTTATTAATTTTTCATTCTGAAATATTATGTATATATTTGATTCTTTCAGTATATTTCAGTTTGGATTAGGCTTATTTAAAGTGCTAACTAGCCACATTGGAGCAGCTAGTGGCTACCATATTCTACATTGGTATTATAAAGGATCTACATATACAACCCATATTCTATGTTGATATTATGAAGGATCTACATATACAATTCATATTCTACATTGATATTATGAAGGATCTACATATACAGTGGTCTGAGTTATTAACCAAAGCTACATTGATTCTTCAGATAGATTCTGATATCCAACACATATTTATAAGGTATCATGCGTGCTATGCATGTTGTGCTTAACTTGGGGAATGCACAAATCGACATGGCACTGACCTGACCCTAATTGAGCAGAAAGCATGCTTATTCTCACACTTTCTGTCTGGGAAGACAAACTTATAAATAGTAATAGAATATGGAAATTATTTTTTTTAAATATAATCTATAGCAAGACAATGGAGCTTGGAAGAATCTATAAAAGTTAAAGGCATTAGACCAGACTCTAAAAGAATTTGTTGAAACTTTTTAGATGGCAAAAGAATGAAATGACATACTAGATTTTGGCACATAAGCAGAAACAAGGAATCATTCACTGTCTGGTGTATGTGACAGAAATTAGAAAGGTAGACTATGAAGTGTGTCAGAAGAAATGTACCAATGATATTCAAGATATTTAACAACTGTATGAAAAGGGTACCAGCCATCAGAATGGCCATACCAGTGAGCAACAGCTAATTAATAACCCTGAAAATAAAACTTTACATTATTAAAAAATAATTGGATTTGTGTCCAAAAGGGACAGCAGCTCTTCTTTGGGCAGGGATATGGCTCAAATAATAGAATGCCTACCTAGCAAGCATGAAGCCCTGAGTTTAAACCTCAACTCAGTACCATTCCCCTTTTCCCCCCTACCCCATAATAAGAAGGAAAGAAGGAGACAAAAAAAATGAGAATTTTTTTCAGCTTTTTTATTAAAACTTCAAAACAACTCTTAGTTACTACTCATGTTTTACATATTGCAGTAGTTAAGCTGAAAGAAACAAATTGATTTGGCCAGAATCACCCGCAGGTTATAAATCCTAACGACAAATCAATTTTCCTGACTTCAAATCCTATGCTCTTATCCCAAAATTAAAAACTAGAATAATCAGCACTATAGTGAAGAACTGAAATTGGATGTACCAGTGTGCACTCATTTTCAATACATGTAGATTTATGTATAAGTTTGCATATTTTTATACACAAATTCTCAAACTCTGTCCACGAGAGGACATGGCAGCAGGGATCCTCAAAGCCAAAGAACAAACCTACCATCTCAAGTGGGAAACACATGTTCTGCTTGGATTTTGTAGCCTCACCTCCTAGTTCCTCTCAGCTCCCTTGCCTAAAACAGGCTGCCTGGTGGGTTTGAGTAGCCTGAGCTCAGAGCATGGAGAGCTCAGGGTGACAAGGACTCAACAGGTAGGGAAGATAAAAGGTTATGAGATATAACAACCAAAATTATTAAACAGTTGAAGAGATTGAACTAAGTCATCTTTCCAGTCTGTTCCAATGATAAGTTTAAGCCAGCAAAACTTGCCTGTTTCACTGATAGACTTGTAGGTGCAGTCTGCTGCAGGGTGGGTCTCAGAATCAAGAGAGACTACATCACGACTCTAGGATGTCTTGCACCTTACCAGAGACTAGAAATAAGAGCTAAAATGTTAAATCATGTCTTAAACATCTGTGAAAAAGATGGTACTTTTGACAACATCTGTCTGCATGTGCAGATTAGCCCAGAGTCAGCATTCAGTTTTACGGGAAGTTTGACTTTGAGATTATTGAGACAAAGAAGAACTACACTGAGAAGGTACAGCCTGTGGATGCTCATGTGCTTCAGAAAAGCCTCAAAGGCCCTTCTGCTCAGAACACAGAGGTGCAAAAGACAGACAGCTGAACAAGTGGCAAGTGAACTTTCTTGCCCTTGCTTGTGACCAAATAAGAGAGAGACAAATTGATTTTGCCTTCTCTCTTAAACTTTCTTCCCTCCTTGTTCTTATTTTTCTTATGTTCTTTTCTTTCTCTAAAGATTTTAATATTTTTAAGGACTTTTAAAACATCATATTTGAATTGTTTTAGTTCTCTTATTTTTGTGAAGTGGTTGAATTGAAGGAAGGAGAAGGTTTTAGTTTCACCTAAGTTAAGATGTAAGATCCTCAAAATTTGAGTGTCAGATGATTTCAAATTTTTCGGCTGTTTATTTTATTTTTTGGTTGGACTGGGATTTGAATTCAGAACTTCACACTTACAAAACAGATGCTCACAAAGCAGGCACTCTACCACTTGAGCCACACCTCTAGTCCATTTTGCTCTGGCCATTTTGGAGATGGGATCTTGTAAACTATTTACCCAGTCTGGCTTCAAGCCACTATCCTCCTGATCTCAGCCTCCCAAGTACTAGAATTATAGGTGTGAGCCACCAGCACTACTTTTCCATTGAAGGGCAGAGCTAACAAATACCGTTTATTTCAGAAGACAAAGAGAAGCTGGGCGCCAGTGGCTCCCGCTATTCAGGAGGTAGAGAACAGGAGGATTGTGGTTCAAAGCCAGCCCAGGCAATAGTTCAAGAGACCCTATCTTGAAAATTCACAACACAAAAAAGGGCTAGTGGAGTGGCTCAAGTGGTAGAATGTCTGCCCAGCATGAGGCCCTGAGTTCAAACCCCAGAACTTCAAATAAATGAATAAATAGACAAAAAGAAGCAGCCACAATATTTTGTTCTCTAATTCATAGGCAAGTTTAGTATGTTTGCAGTACTTTGAGTTTTTAAAGACTTTTTGTGGAATGCTAATCCCTAGACATTGCCTTCCCTCCACTTTTTGTCCGTTTGAGTGCTCTTCTAGGAGTTGGAACATTGCTTTCTTTGAAGAAGTCCTAAGCTTGTCTATATTTTTAAAGCGATTGTTTTTTCTCTTCTTGCTGATGGGTAGGGCAGGTACTGTTATACTTTGATTTTGGTCTAAGTATTTAAGTTAAACTGATGAGTGAGCTAGTTGTTAGCAGGTTTGTATTTCCTGCTATCTATTGTTACTAAAGGCATTAACTTTTAGAGTGTGGGCTGGTAAAATTAATTTTTCTTAATATCCCAGCTAGAGATATGGTCTTTAACTGACCTAAAAAAGTTCTTTATAATTTTTCTCCTGTCTTTTTCTTCCAGTAAGCACAACAATAGTTACCCTAACCTTTAAAAATAGAGTTAATTTGTCCTTATAGGTCACTTGTCCTAAATAAACCTGAAGCAGGTATTTTCTCTTGGACATATTTAAAAAATACCTAATAGGAAGCTTGGATAGATGTGACACAATAAATACATTTAATGTTGACTAATGAGAGCTATTAAAAGTATGGCCACTGAGTATTTGATTATATTAAGAAAAACAGTGTTTTTGAGAATAACACAGCCATGCTATTCTTGTCTGTTAGAGAACATCCCAGATTTGCTTATACTCTGTGCCTACAGCATTGCGTTTAAGGATTTGGAATAAGAGGAATTGTTAAACAAATTGCTTCTATTCTTGGAAAGGGAGAAGTATGAAGTGTTAATAATGCAAATATCACTGTGATCTTCTCTACTGACAAGTCTTGTTTAAGCCAGATCATTTTCTGGAATGTAGGGAGTGCTTTGACAAGTTAATAAGATTGTGGGATGAGAGAAATTTGAAATACTCATGTTTTCTGCCCATTGTCCCATCTCTGATATTTAGAATTTATTAGCTTGGTAGTAGTGATGGTTCAAGAAATGTTCTCATAGACTTTAAAACAATATACAAGGCTTCAGCTTTCTGTCATTTAAAAAGGAAGTTTAATTCATAATATTTATCCTCTTATGTAAAGTTCTGGTAGAAAGGTCTCATCTCTAAATAGGTTAAATGACAAAAATTATTTTAGAAAATGTTCATGCACACTTTTTAGCTTTAAGTTTTTATTTGAGAATTTGAAAGTACAAAGTAAAACAGACATCATCTTAATTGAGTGCCAAGAAAAGTACAGAAAAGGAAGATGGTTGATGTATGAGCTTACAGGGTTCTAATCTTATGATAGTAAAAATGTAGGAAGATTATGCTGTTTTTTTAGGTTATCCATTTCTTAAAAAGTCTAATCTTAGAAGAAAATTTTAGCATTAAACACCTCTGCCTTCATGGATAAGTTTTAGCTTGTTCTTGCCAAGAGAAGAGTGCTTGACTTACAGAAAACGTTAGTTTGAAGAATCAGCCTTTAAAAATAGATATATTGGTATATAAATGAGTTTTCTCATTCCTGCCTGT